ATTATTTATAGGTTAAAAGAACGATTTCAGCTTTCCTTAAGACAAGATAAAGAGAAAAACCAGGAGATCCACCTATCACCCATTGCGTTACAGCCAGCACAGTCGGAGGCCAAGACAGCCCACAGCATGGTCCAGCCTGAGCAGGCGCCAAAGGTGCTGAACGTTGTCGTGGACCCTCAAGGCCAATGTGCTCCTGAGATTAGAACCACCACCTCCTCCTCTGTCTGCCCTTCTCCCTTCAAAATGAAACCCATAGGACTTCAGGAGAGGTAAGAGCTTCGAGAGTCCACCTACAGGCTGTCTTTGTTTTACTTTGTTCTGGAAAGTCTACTTCAGCTACAAAGGGTGAAACTGGAAATGACTGACCATGGGGTAGAATCATTCCCTACCAAATAGGCACCAGAAAGTAGGTTTCTCGTCATCCAGTGGAGTCTCTGTGCTTGGGAAAACCTTCTTCAGGCACATCTGAAGCTTGTGTAGCCCATCTTCAACAATGGGGTGGTTCCTACCACCATTTATTAAGTACTTATCAAGGGCCACTAACCAAAGAGAGTTATCTTATTTTATTATCAAACATGGTATAAAGGAGTTGGTAATAAACGTAAGAGTGTTTTCCTACAGACGACCATGTTTTTGAAGTCATGTAGAAGGAGGCTGTGCTGCAAATTAATTTGGCTATAGTTAACTTTCTGCTTCCTTTAACCACAAGAGTTATCTATTGAGATATATATCTTTGTTTCCTTTATCTGTCTTTGGGGTTTATTTATTCATACAAGTGCTTCCATTTCAAGCAAGTCCCGTGGAAGAAAACTAGAATATACAATGTACGTAATGAAGGGCTAAATTTTCTTTTCTCCCAAATATTAATTAAACTCTTTTCACAGTGTTCTTAAATAATTCTATTATTTTTCCAGTGATGTGTGTTAATGGACATAGAGGCTGAGGCAGGAGGATTACCATAAGTTTGAGGACACCCTGAGATATAGAGTGAGTTCCAGGTCAGCTTGACCTATAGTATGAGAGTCTGCCTCAAGAGGAAGAGATCTGAGATTCTTTTAATGTATTGCCAGTAGATGATATGACAAGAGAGAAATTTGTTATGATTAGCTCTAAAGGCCCTGAACAAACAAACAGTTGATACCACTCTAGAGGGAAAGAGAGCAGTCAAATCATTCCTCCTATCTCCTTCCCCCAAAGGCTGCTGCCTTCCTGACCGTTCCACCTCAGGCCCCAAGTGACATTCTTGCACTTGGGTATAGCTAAGTGGCATTCTCAGATTTGGTCTGGAAATGAACATGAGACAACCCTTTCCCCTGGAGGGGAACTTGGAGTCTGGAGAACTGGGTGCAGACCCACAGATCCATCATTCTTTTGCCCTTCACTTCTACACTAGGAAAGGGTAGGCTAGGATTCTCAGCTTCTTCCCAGTCTCAGGCAGCTTCAAAGGGAAGCCTTGAGGCAGAGATCTGAACGCCAAGGGCAGAGTAGCAGGAAGGGTCTGCCTGGTCATAGACAATAAGGGGAAGGTACACTCAAAAAGATTTACAGACAGTAAAAACAGTTTTTTTTTTAAAAATCAGGCTAATTTTAATTATGGCCATGCACTACTAATTCAAAGCAAGGTCAGTGTAACACTGTCAATGAGAAGAGTTATTGTGGTATCCTGTCCTTGTAGACCACCTCCTTAGCAGGTTTGAATTTCAAGGAGCATAAGGTTAAAGATTGGAGAATTCATTTAATTGAAGAAGGGCAGAAATTCAAGTGATATCTTATTCATCTTTGTGATCCACATGGAAATGCTATTTAAAAAAAAAAAAAGCAAAACCTAGGGCCTAATCAGAATTAAATGCCTTCCATGTCCCCTGATGTGTAATTACAGCTTCCCCTGCATCCCTTACTCCTAATGCCTTCTCTTCTCCAAGCAAGGGAAATCTGTTTTCCCCAAGAGTCTCCAAGTCCTTCCTGACTTAGTAACTTCATCAATTTTTCTCCTCTCTTTTCAGCTAAACTTTCTTTCCTAATATTAACTATCCATTTACCTTTAAAGTTTCTTTTATATCAAAGATCTTCCCTTCCCTTAGGTCATTGCTTATCTGGCTCTTGTCTTTCCTTCCTTATCCTAAAGGAACAACGTATGTTCCCTGCCTCATCAGTTTTCAACCTTCCTCCTCTTTGTCTTTCATGGTCTTCTAATAAGTTGATGCTCAATGATCTAGCTACTCAATATAAAACACAAGCTTCATTTTTCTTCCTATATAGCACCGAGGACTGCCCATTTCTCAGCATCTCTCCTCTGGTCTACTAGACATCATTTGAACTGACTCTTAGTGACTACTTTTGCCTTGCATTCATGCCTTTATCCAAGCCCACATCAGAGTTTCATTATGAGTCTACATAACTACAACCATTTCTCATGCTGTCTTGACACATGTGCTTCTCCTGGTATGCTACTTAAACACAAAAGAAGATGCTCAGAGTTGGGCAGTGGTAGGACACTCCTTTAATCCCACTGCTTGGGAGGCAGAGGCAGACAGATCTATGTAAGTTGGAGGCCAGCCTGGTCTACAGATCGAATGCCAGGACAGTCTCAAAATCTACACAGGGAAACCTGTCCAGAAAGAAACAAACAAAAAAAAGATGCTCAGAAACAAAAGTCAAAATTTTCATCGAGTCATTTCTCTTTGTGTATTCTGAATCCTAGGAACCTATAATATCCCCAACCATCTCACTTCTTCCCCTCTCATTATGTACCCATGCATTGTGAAGATCTGTCACCTTCCTCCTAGGAGCTTCTTTCCAACCCCATGACCCCTGAGGACTCAGGATTTCCCATTTCTCTTAATCTGTGTCACGCTGACCCTCCCACCTCAGGTTCTCTTCTCCTCCAATCCATCCCCAGACATCTCAAGCAATAGTGTTTTAAAATACATGGGAATGTCTTTTATTTTAAAGTCTATACTTCTTTTTGGAAGAATAGGTCATTCCTCTGTATGGAATATGACACCCTCTCCAGCCTAACTTTTGCCAGCCTCTGTCAAACTTTATTTCCTGCTAAGCACACACGCACATCATCCATCCTGCTACTGTGATATTTCTCCAGGCACCATCCCAAAATATTTAAAGTCCATGAAATAGTACCTGCCTCTGCTCTGTCCTTCCTTTCTCTATTTGCTATTAGAAAGTACTACCACTGCAGTAAGAGTGAATCTGTGTCTACAAGTCAAGGGAATGAGAAACAGAGTTCTATTTCCTTATAACCCATACTAAACTTTTGTTGTAACTCTCATCCTTCCTAAATGGCAGAAACTTGATCTCAGCCCCTTTCTGGTTGACTCAACATCAAGCCCCCCTTGCTTAGAAATTTCATCTAGATGTTGAAGGGCCCTTCTCAATATAAAATGTGAAAGTCCCATCTGCCTTGATGCCTTCCATCCAAACTGCCTTTTGCTAAAATGGCCATTACATCCTGAATCCTCAGAAGTTTACTCATGATTGTTGCTACCAACTCGTTCCTTCTTTCTGTTCATACAAACCCCTCTATTTCTAATGGTGACTTCTTCTCATTCCCTCCCTCCCCCTTTCTAAACTTTATCCAATATACTCTGAGATACCACAATATATTCTCACTGCTAGCTTCTATATATCAAGTGGAAATGCAGGCAACTCTGTGCCAAGACGCCATCCCTACAGCACCGGCCACTTTTTCTCATGGTTCTACCTAGGGTCATGGTCCCCCTGCTGAAGATGTCAGGGCTTAGCCGTGAAAGACAGTGTCTTGCCAGTGCTTGTGCTTGCAAGTCATCACAACTAATGCTTCTCCCTCCCCTCAGTCCATGGGCCCTTTTTCTAGCTCTGTAAATAAAACTGTCTACTCATGTATCTTTCATATTTCACTCAACCTGGCATCCACACATTCAGATGTGTTCTACTAAGAACCTGACCTTTAGAACTCAAAAGATAGAATCCGTATTTATTTGCCTCCTGTTTTCATATTTCTTCCTCTAAGCAATAAAACACCAAACAGCTTGACAGCATAAAGACAGAGAAGGTCCAAAGGTGAGGGAAGGACTGGGAAAGGGGGAAGAGCTTCACCCATCACTTCCTCTTGAGTGACTCGGGTCATTCCTCACAATGACTGTATGCCTCACCCATGGAGCCCAACACTAACCCAGGAACTTCTCTTCTGCTACCTTCTGCATTAATCCTAAAACTTATGTGCCCAGATTGCTTATAGAACTCTTGTATGTATTGTCAAGTTTAGAGACCTGTCATAGCCATAGCCAATAGAGTCTGAATTTCTGGAGGACATATATATATATATATTTTCTAACGGGCTTCTAGAAACGAATGAGTTTCATGAGCAATTCTCAGGTCAACGCCCAGTTAACACTTTGTTTAACCTGTCAGGCCTTCCTTCCCTCCTTCTTCTATTTTCACTCCCATCTTCCTGCCATAAATCTCTTGCCAGCATAGCATATAACTTTAAGAGTGATAAAATGCAAAGCCTATATATTGTGCATTATGCAGCAAAAAAAGTTTTCTGGAATTTCATCTTTAATCCTTAAAGTTTTATGCTCATGTGTTCTAATGGTGCCATTTAAAAATCCTCATGTTTTTATTTCCAGACCTTGATCCTGATGTAAAGTAATTATATTTTGTTTATTACATAAAAGCCTGGTTATAAAGCCATGAGATCATAAGGGCTGCCTTATTAATCAACTGTCATGCTATACAAATCTCTCATTCTTTGTATCAATAATATGAGTTAAAATGTAAGTAAAATAAGATAGAGACTAAATGTACATGCTTATATAAATATGAAAATGTATATTGAAAATTATAAAGATTAAAAATCCATACAATGTGGAGGTTATAGTAGTAGTTACTGTTTTCTTTATTCCAATTACCTACCCACAAATTCTATTGATCCTTGGTTCTCCAGCTTTCTCATTATTGAAACACTCCTCACCCTGGGCCTGGCTTGCATTACTTCATCTTTGAACTGAATCTTCTGATTATAAAAATGTCATTAAAATTAATACACTTTATGTATCATATATACACTATTTTATTTCACCCCTTCTGTCTATATCTCATACTTTCCCTTTTTAAATTCATATTGTATTCTCTTTATACCTACCATCCTAAAACAATATTTATTACTACTTACTATCTATCTTACTGTGACAAAATCCTCCAGTCACCGACAGGATCTAATTCAAATTTTTCTCTCCAAATCTATTCACTGCTGGCCCCAAATCACGCTATC